CATATGCGACACCCAAGTACCCCAAAGGAACCACAGTGGCTCGTACCCCAATGTACCACTTACCGCGTACCCCAACAGATCGTACCCAATGTCACAAGCAGTCAGTTTACCCCGATTACCACATTCCTCATTACCCCAACATTAGATACCCAATTCACAATCAGTTTTACCCCAATGTACCACAGTCCCGTACCCCAACAGGATCTACCCCAATTCCCGATTCATGATTGTACCACGAGTAACCACACTCCTCTTTCCCCATTTACAAACAATATTCTACCCAATACCCAATTACCCCAATTACCACATTCCTCCGTTATCCCAATTACAAGCATTATTTTTACCCCATTACCCTTCATTCCCCTTACGCCCAACATATCTACCCCACTTCACATTTATCATTGATTTACAAAATACCACGATTCCCCGTACGCCAACGTTATCTACCCCAATTACCACATTCCTCTTACCCCAATTACAAACATTCTACCTTAACCCAATTACAATTATTATTTTTACCCCAAGTATTGATGCCCAATTAACCTTACATTCCTCTTACCCCAATTACTAGGACTCACTGCCCAGTACAACTCTGCTGACACAAACTAGAAGGGCTATGAGCACAACAAATTCTCAATCTTGTTAACTTGGCCATTGCAATAGCTTCCTTCACCACTGCTTTTTCCTTCTCCTATATAAGTGTATATACAGTATGAACAACAGTATGATGGTAGGGACGCAAACCTCTTCTTCTTCAGAGAAAATCCGCAGGACTCCGACAGTGAGGTGGAACTTCTCAGGTAGCTGGAACACATCTTCACAAATCCCTCTCTCCTGAGAACACATTTCATATCACAGTCAGTCAGTCGTGAGTTGCTTACTCTTTGAATTTACCACATTCCCCCAATTACCTCATTCCCCTTACCCCAACATTATCTACCCCAATTACCACATTATAAATTATTTTAACCCCAATTACCACATTCCTCTTACCCCAATTACCACATCAATTATTTTAACCCCAATTACCACATTCCCCTTACCCCAACATCCAACATTATCTACCCCAATTACCATATTATCAATTATTTTAACCCACCCAATTCACAATTACATTATCTACCATTATCTACCCCAATTCACAATCATTATTTTTACCCCGATTACCACATTCCTCTTACCCCAACATTATCTACCCCAATTAACAATCATTATTTTTACCCCGATTACCACATTCCTCTTACCCCAACATTATATACCCCAATTCACAATCATTTTTACCCCAATTACCACATTCCCCTTACCCCAACATTATCGACCACCCAATTACATCATATTTTTTACCCCGATTACCACATTCCTCTTACCCAAACATTATATACCCCAATAACAATAATATTTTACCCAATTTTTTTTGTAGGCACAGAGCAGATGGAGAGACGACCCAAACTATCCTTATGCTTGGACTACGGAGGAGTGTGGAATGCATAATGGTTCTATCCCCTGCCCCTTCCCTATCCAACCCAACCCCCAATTTCTGTTTCTTGTGTCACTTACACAGTTGTAATTTGTGTGTTTTGTGAGTTGTCGTTTGGTGTCGTATTTTGTTGTAAGGCCAAACTGAGCAGAAGATTGACGTGTGTCCATCTAATCCTGTGATAGTTGTACATGCTTGACTAAAGTTGGATGATGGAGTGTGTGGTCACGGGTGTCGAAATCAACTTTTGTCTCATGCACTCCCAATTCCCTCTCTCACCCACATCCTTCGGGTTCTCCGATAAAGGGTTGGGTTCAACGATTTCACATTTTTTTGTTGGCAAGGAGCAGGAATAGTACCCAACAGTTCCCTCGACAACCCAACATTATATACCCAAAATTCACAATCCTTATGGTTTGTACCCGATTGCCACCTGTGCAGCGTCCCCCATTTGTGTGAACATTGTTGCACACAGTGCCACACTACCCCGATAAGTACCAAGTTCCGCGAACCCAATTAAGGCTCCAAACAGTACCCCAACACTGAGCTACCCCACCATTCACACAGTCCACCCCCAATCATGATTTGGTACCCCGATGACACAGGCTCTGACGCCCAACAGGATGAGACTCAAGGCACAAGCAGGTGGACCCCAGGACCACAGGGCCCGGACCCCAACAGGAGGCGACCCCAAGGCACAGGCAGAGGAGGGACCCGAGGACCACAGGCCGCGGGCCCCAAGGACAAACAGGAGAACCCCAAGGAACCCAAGGACCCCCAAGAGGACCACAGGCCCCGGACGCCAACAGGAGAGACCCCAGCACAAGCAGGGGAACGCCCAAGAACACAGGGCCCCGGACCCCCAACAGGAGCGACCCCAAGGCACAAGCAGGAGGGGGACCCCAAGGACCACCAGGACGCGGACCCCAAGCCCGACAAACATTATCTACCCCCAATTACAACAGTCCTCTTAACCCAAAGTAGAGACCCAATTCACAACAATTATCTAATTTTACCCAATAACCACATTCCCACTTACCCCAACTTATCACCCCAATTCACAATAATTTTTTACCCCTAAATACCAATTCCTCTTACCCCATTAACAAACTCATTATTTCCACCCCAATTACCACATTCCTCCATTACCCCAAACTTATCTCACACACCCAACAAAATACCAACCCTCAAACACACTACACCCCAACACCCGACCCCAATTAACCCACATTCCTCCTTATCCCAAAAAACATTATCTAACCCCAATACCTCACCCCATACCCCAAACTTATCTACCCCGATTACCACATTCCTCTTACCCAAACAGTATCTACCCCAATTAACAATCATTATTTTTACCCCGATTACCACATTCCTCTTACCCCAACATTATCTACACCAATTAACAGTCAATATGTTTTTACCCCGATTACCACATTCCTCTAACCCCAACATTATCGACCCCAAGCACAAGACGGAGGGGGACCCCGAGCGATCGGCAGGCCGCGGACACAAATAACAGGAGAGACCCCAAGTCACAAGCTAGGTAAGACCCCGAAGACCACAGCGCGGACCCCAAGGACAAACAGAGCACGAGCGACCACAAGGACACAGAGCCGGCGGACCCCAACAGGAGCGACCGCCAAGGCACAAGCAGGAGGGGGACCCGAGGACCACAGGCCGCGGACCCCACAGGAGAGACCCCAAGGCACAGCAGGGGGACCCCCAAGGACACAGGCCCCGACCACAACAGGAGCGACCCAAGGAAAAGAAGAGGGTGACCCCCGAGTACCCAGTCCTCGTACCCAACAGGAGAGACCAAATTCACAAGCAGGTGACCCCAAGACCACAGTCCCGGAACCCCACACTGTATATACCCAATTCACAATAATTATTGTTTACCCCGAGTACAACATTCCTCTTACCCCAATACAAAACATTATTCTTAACCCATTACCCCATTCCTCTTACCCCAAAATTATCACCCCAATTCACAATCATTATTATTACCCGATTACAACATTCCTCTTACCAAACATTATCTAACCCCAATTCACAATCATTATTTTACCCCGAATTAACCAATCCTCTGACCCCAACATTATCTACCCAATTAACCAATTAATTTTTTTACCCCGACCCCAATTTCACAATCATTATTTTTTACCCCGATTATTCAATTTCCTCTTACCCAATTATCTATTTTTACCCCAATAACCAAACATTCCCCTTACCCACAACATTATCTACCCCAATTCACATCATTATTTTTTACCCCTCTTGCCAACAATTCCTCTTACCCCCAATTTACAAACATTATTCTACCCCATTACCACATTCCTCTTACCCCAACATTTCTACCCAATTCACAATCATTATTATTTACCCATTACCCACCCCCAACATTCCTCTTACCCCACATTATCTACCTACCCCAATTCACAATCAATTATTTTTACCACCCATTACCACATTCCTCTTACCACCCCAACATTATCTAACCCCAATTCACAATCATTTATTTTTTACCTACCACCCCAATTACCCACATTCCTCTTACCATACCCCATTACAAATATCAATTTTACCCCAATTACCACATCCCTTTACCCCAACATTATCTACCCCAATTCACAAAATTATTATTAACCCCCCCGATTACCACATTCCTCTCCTACCCCAACATTATATACCCCAATTCACAATCAATTTTTAAACCCCCAATTACCACATTCCCCTTACCCCAACATTATCTACCCCAATTCACAATCATATTTTTACCCCGACCACCACACCCCCCCCAATTACCACTTCCGCTTACCCCACATTATCTACCCCTATATCTACCCCAATTCACAATCATTATTTTTACCCCCGATTACCGACAATTCCTCTTACCCCCAACATAATATACCAAATTCACATCAGTAATTTTAACCCCAATTCCCACATTCCCTTACCCCAACATTATCTACCCAATTCATCACTTACTCTTACCCCCATTACAAACATATTCTACCACCAATTCTACCTTACCCATTTACAATTATCTATTTTTACCCCAAGTATTGGATGCCATACCTTACATTCCTCTTCCAACTTACCCCAATTACCACATTCCTATTACACCCCATTACAAACATTCTACCCTCTACCCCAACTCTAACTACACCCAATTACAATCATTATTTTTTACCCCAATTACCACATTCCCATTACCCACATTATCTATTCCCAATTACCACATTCCTCTTACCCCTAATTACAATCATTATTTTTTTACCCCAATTACCACATTCCCTTACCCCAACATTATCTACCCCAATTACCACATTAACAATTATTTTAACCCCAATTACCACATTCCCATTACCCCACCTCCAACATTATCTACCCCAATTACCATATTATCAATTATTTTAACCCCAAATCCCACATACCATTCCCCTTACGCCAACATTATTCGACCCCAATTACCACATTCCTCTTACCCCAAAATACAAACATCTACCTAACCCAATTATCCAGTACAGAAGATTTGAACAGCGAGACTCTGTCTCTGATGTGGGGCACAGTGAGAGGGATGCTGATGAAGTGTGTGGGTTTCTCCTTCTCTCTGTTGGTCCACACAATAATCTCCACTCTTCTCTTGGCATCTGCCACATTTGACTTGGCTGGACCCTCAATTACTAAACAGGGGGTTAGAAAAAGCAGCTCAAAACTGTGTACATGTCAAAGTGATTCCAGTTACCAACATCTCCTTCTATTCCCCTGGAAGGCAGCCACAGGTGACACTCCAACATTATCTACCCCAATTCACAATCATTATTTTTACCCCGATTACCACATTCCTCTTACCCCAACATTATATACCCCAATTCACAATCATTTTTACCCCAATTACCACATTCCCCTTACCCCAACATTATCTACCCCAATTCACAATCATTATTTTTACCCCGATTACCACATTCCTCTTACCCCAATTACAAACATTATTCTACCCCAATTACCACATTCCTCTTACCCCAACATTATCTACCCCAATTCACAATCATTATTTTTACCCCGATTACCACATTCCTCTTACCCCAACATTATCTACCCCAATTCACAATCATTATTTTTACCCCGATTACCACATTCCCTTACCCCAACATTATCTACCCCAATTCACAATCATTATTTTTACCCCGATTACCACATTCCTCTTACCCCAATTACAAACATTATTCTACCCCAATTCACAAACATTATTCTACCCCAATTACCCCAATTACCACATTCCTCTTACCCCAATTACCACATTCCCCTACCCCAACTACTTACCCCAATTCACAATCATTTTTACTCCAATAACCACATTCCCCTTACCCCAACATTATCTACCCCAATTCACAATCATTATTTTTACCCCAATTACCACATTCCTCTTACCCCAATTACAAACATTATTCTACCCCAATTACCACATTCCTCTTACCCCAACATTATCTACCCCAATTCACAATCATTATCTATCCCAATTACCACATTCCTCTTATCCCCAATTACAAGCATTATTTTTACCCCAATTACCTCATTCCCCTTACCCCAACATTATCTACCCCAATTACCACATTATCAATTATTTTAACCCCAATTACCACATTCCCCTTACCCCAATTACCACATTATCAATTATTTTAACCCCAATTACCACATTCCCCTTACCCCAACATCCAACATTATCTACCCCAATTACCATATTATCAATTATTTTAACCCCAAATACCACATTCCCCTTACGCCAACATTATCTACCCCAATTACCACATTCCTCTTACCCCAATTACAAACATTCTACCTTAACCCAATTACAATTATTATTTTTACCCCAAGTATTGATGCCCAATTAACCTTACATTCCTCTTACCCCAATTACTAGGACTCACTGCCCAGTACAACTCTGCTGACACAAACTAGAAATATGAGCACAACAAATTCTCAATCTTGTTAACTTGGCCATTGCAATAGCTTCCTTCACCACTGCTTTTTGCCTTCTCCTATATAAGTGTATATACAGTATGAACAACAGTATGATGGTAGGGACGCAAACCTCTTCTTCTTCAGAGAAAATCCGCAGGACTCCGACAGTGAGGTGGAACTTCTCAGGTAGCTGGAACACATCTTCACAAATCCCTCTCTCCTGAGAACACATTTCATATCACAGTCAGTCAGTCGTGAGTTGCTTACTCTTCTGCAGGAGTCCAGTACAGAAGATTTGAACAGCGAGACTCTGTCTCTGATGTGGGGCACAGTGAGAGGGATGCTGATGAAGTGTGTGGGTTTCTCCTTCTCTCTGTTGGTCCACACAATAATCTCCACTCTTCTCTTGGCATCTGCCACATTTGACTTGGCTGGACCCTCAATTACTAAACAGGGGGTTAGAAAAAGCAGCTCAAAACTGTGTACATGTCAAAGTGATTCCAGTTACCAACATCTCCTTCTATTCCCCTGGAAGGCAGCCACAGGTGACACTCTGTGTCTCTCTCTATACCCTTCTTGATCCGACCTTCTCTCCCAATGATATACTTGAAGAAAACTGAAGACTAAACTACACTGTCTCCTTCTCCTCCTCCTCCACAAACCCATCTGAAGGCTCCAGTCTCTCGGCCTCTCTACCTCTTCTCTCCCTGCTGCCTGCTCGCCGTCCAAACTCCACGTCTGTCAGTTCAAAACGTGCATCATGGATGTTCTGGAAGTGGAAGGATTCGAGACGAAGCGAAAACGTATCTTGGGAGCTGTCAAAAGCTTGGAGAAGTTTGCTGGACAATTACTACATTCCTCTTCCCCCAATTACAAACATTCTACCCCTATTCTACCTTACCCCAACATTATCTATCCCAATTACCACATTCCTCTTACCCCAATTACAAGCATTATTTTTACCCCAATTACCACATTCCCCCAATTACCTCATTCCCCTTACCCCAACATTATCTACCCCAATTACCACATTATCAATTATTTTAACCCCAATTACCACATTCCCCTTACCCCAATTACCACATTATCAATTATTTTAACCCCAATTACCACATTCCCCTTACCCCACAACATTATCTACCCCAATTCACAATCATTATTTTACCCCAATTACACATTCTTACCCCAACATTATCTACCCCAATTCACAATCATTATTTTTACCCCATTACCACATTCCTCTTACCCCAACATTATCTACCCCAATTCACATCATTTTACCCCATTACCACATTCCCTTACCCCAATTACAATCATTATTTTTACCCCAATTACCACATTCCCCTTACCCCAACATTATCTACCCCAATTACACAATCATTATTTTACCCCAATTACCACATTCCCCTTACCCCAATTACACATTACAATTATTTTACCCCAATTACCACATTCCCCTTACCCCAAATCAACATTATCTACCCCAATTACCACATTATCAATTATTTTAACCCCCAATTACACATTCCCTTACCCCAACATTATCTACCCCAATTCACAATCATTATTTTTACCCCGATTACCACATTCCTCTTACCCCAACATTATCTACCCCAATTCACAATCATTATTTTTACCCCGATTACCACATTCCTCTTACCCCAACATTATCTACCCCAATTCACAATCATTTTTACCCCAATTACCACATTCCCCTTACCCCAACATTATCTACCCCAATTCACAATCATTATTTTTACCCCGATTACCACATTCCTCTTACCCCAATTACAAACATTATTCTACCCCAATTACCACATTCCTCTTACCCCAACATTATCTACCCCAATTCACAATCATTATTTTACCCCGATTACAACATTCCTCTTACCCCAACATTATCTACCCCAATTCACAATCATTATTTTTACCCCGATTACCACATTCCTCTTACCCCAACATTATCTACCCCAATTACACAATCATTATTTTACCCCAATTACCACATTCCCTCTTACCCCAACATTATCTACCCCAATTCACAATCATTATTTTAACCCCAATTACCACATTCCCCTTACCCCAACATCCAACATTATCTACCCCAATTACCATATTATCAATTATTTTAACCCCAAATACCACATTCCCCTTACGCCAACATTATCTACCCCAATTACCACATTCCTCTTACCCCAATTACAAACATTCTACCCCAATTCTACCTTAACCCAATTACAATTATTATTTTTACCCCAAGTATTGATGCCCAATTAACCTTACATTCCTCTTACCCCAATTACTAGGACTCACTGCCAGTACAACTCTGCTGACACAAACTAGAAATAGAGCACAACAAATCTCAATCTTGTTAACTTGGCCATTGCAATAGCTTCCTTCACCACTGCTTTTCCTTCTCCTATATAAGTGTATATACAGTATGAACAACAGTATGATGGTAGGGACGCAAACTCTTCTTCTTCAGAGAAAATCCGCAGGACTCCGACAGTGAGGTGGAACTTCTCAGGTAGCTGGAACACATCTTCACAAATCCCTCTCTCCTGAGAACACATTTCATATCACAGTCAGTCAGTCGTGAGTTGCTTACTCTTCTGCAGGAGTCCAGTACAGAAGATTTGAACAGCGAGACTCTGTCTCTGATGTGGGGCACAGTGAGAGGGATGCTGATGAAGTGTGTGGGTTTCTCCTTCTCTCTGTTGGTCCACACAATAATCTCCACTCTTCTCTTGGCATCTGCCACATTTGACTTGGCTGGACCCTCAATTACTAAACAGGGGGTTAGAAAAAGCAGCTCAAAACTGTGTACATGTCAAAGTGATTCCAGTTACCAACATCTCCTTCTATTCCCCTGGAAGGCAGCCACAGGTGACACTCTGTGTCTCTCTCTATACCCTTCTTGATCCGACCTTCTCTCCCAATGATATACTTGAAGAAAACTGAAGACTAAACTACACTGTCTCCTTCTCCTCCTCCTCCACAAACCCATCTGAAGGCTCCAGTCTCTCGGCCTCTCTACCTCTTCTCTCCCTGCTGCCTGCTCGCCGTCCAAACTCCACGTCTGTCAGTTCAAAACGTGCATCATGGATGTTCTGGAAGTGGAAGGATTCGAGACGAAGCGAAAACGTATCTTGGGAGCTGTCAAAAGCTTGGAGAAGTTTGCTGGACAATTACTACATTCCTCTTCCCCCAATTACAAACATTCTACCCCTATTCTACCTTACCCCAACATTATCTATCCCAATTACCACATTCCTCTTACCCCAATTACAAGCATTATTTTTACCCCAATTACCACATTCCCCCAATTACCTCATTCCCCTTACCCCAACATTATCTACCCCAATTACCACATTATCAATTATTTTGGGGTAAAAATAATGCTTGTACAAACATTATTCTACCCCAATTACCCCCATTTACCCCAATTACCACATTCCCCTTACCCCAACATTATCCACCCCAATTACCACATTATCAATTATTTTAACCCCAATTACCACATTCCCCTTACGCCAACATTATATACCCCAATTCACAATCATTTTTACTCCAATTACCACATTCCCCTTACCCCAACATTATCTACCCCAATTCACAATCATTATTTTAACCACGATTCACATTACTTACCCCCACATTCACAATCATCATTTTTACCCGATTACCACATTCCTCTTCCCCAACATTATCTACCTCAATTCACAATCATTATTTTTACCCCGATTACCACAATCCTCTTACATGTGGTAATTGGGGTAAAAATGATTGTGAATTGGGGTATATAATGTTGGGGTAAGAGGAATGTGGTAATCGGGGTAAAAATAATGAATGTGAATTGGGGTAGATAATGTTGGGGGAAGAGGAATGTGGTAATTGGGGTAAGAGGAATGTGGTAATTGGGTAATTGGGGATAATTGGGGTAGAATAATGTTTGTAATTGGGGTAAGAGGAATGTGGCAATCGGGGTAAAAATAATGATTGTGAATTGGGGTAGATAATGTTTGGGTAAAGGGAATGAGGTAATTGGGGTAAAAATGATTGTGAATTGGGGTATATAATGTTGGGGTAAGAGGAATATGGTAATCGGGGTAAAAATAATGATTGTGAATTGGGGCAGATAATGTTGGGGGAAGAGGAATGTGGTAATCGTGGTAAAAATAATGGTTGTCAATTGGGGTAGATAATGTAATTGTGAATTGGGTGGGTTAAAATAATTGATAATATGGTAATTGGGGTAGATAATGTTGGATGTTGGGGTAAGAGGAATGTGGTAATCGGGGTAAAAATAATGATTGTGTATTGGGGTAGATAATGTTGGGGTAAGAGGAATGTTGTAATTGGGGTAGAATAATGTTTGTAATTGGGGTAAGAGGAATGTGGTAATCGGGGTAAAAATATTGATTGTGAATTGGGGTAGATAATGTTGGGGTAAGGGGAATGTGGTAATTTGGGTAAAAATGATTGTGAATTTGGGTATGTAATGTTGGGGTAAGAGGATTGTGGTAATCGGGGTAAAAATAATGATTGTTAATTGGGGTATATAATGTTGGGGTAAGAGGATTGTGGTAATTGGGGTAGAATAATGTTTGTCATTGGGGTAAGAGGAATGTGGTAATCGGGGTAAAAATAATGATTGTGAATTGGGGTATATAATGTTGGGGTAAGAGGAATGTGGTAATCGGGGTAAAAATAATGATTGTGAATTGAGGTAGATGATGTTGGGGTAAGAGGAATGTGGTAATCGGGGTAAAAATAATGATTGTGAATTGGGGTATATAATGTTGGGGTAAGAGGAATGTGGTAATCAGGGTAAAAATAATGATTGTGAATTGGGGTAGATAATGTTGGGGTAAGAGGAATGTGGTAATCGGGTTAAAAATAATGATTATTTTTACCCCAAGTATTGATGCCCAATTAACCTTACATTCCTCTTACCCCAATTACAACATTCCTATTATCTACCCCAATTCACAATCATTATTTTAACCCCAATTACCACATTCCCCTTACCCCAACATCCAACATTATCTACCCCAATTACCATATTATCAATTATTTTAACCCACCCAATTCACAATTACATTATCTACCCCAATTCACAATCATTATTTTTACCCCGATTACCACATTCCTCTTACCCCCAACATTATCTACCCCATTCACAATCATTATTTTACCCCGATACCACATTCCTCTTACCCCAACATTATATACCCCAATTCACAATCATTTTTACCCCAATTACCACATTCCCCTTACCCCAACATTGTCTACCCCAATTCACAATCATTATTTTTACCCCGATTACCACATTCCTCTTACCCCAACATTATCTACCCCAATTCACAATCATTATATTTACGCCGATTATCAATTATTTTAACCCCAATTACCACATTCCCCTTACGCCAACATGTGGTAATTGGGGTGGATAAAAATAATGATTGTGAATTGGGGTAGATAATGTTGGGGTAAGAGGAATGTGGTAATTGGGGTAATTGGGGGTAATTGGGGTAGAATAATGTTTGTAATTGGGGTAAGAGGAATGTGGCAATCGGGGTAAAAATAATGATTGTGAATTGGGGTAGACAATGTTGGGGTAAGGGGAATGTGGTAATTGGGGTAAAAATGATTGTGAATTGGGGTATATAATGTTGGGGTAAGAGGAATGTGGTAATCGGGGTAAATATAATGATTGTGAATTGGGGTAGATAATGTTGGGGTAAGAGGAATGTGGTAATCGGGGTAAAAATAATGATTGTGAATTGGGGTAGATAATGTAATTGTGAATTGGGTGGGTTAAAATAATTGATAATATGGTAATTGGGGTAGATAATGTTGGATGTTGGGGTAAGAGGAATGTGGTAATTGGGGTGGATAACTTTATAACATTATACACCCCAATTCACAATTACATTATCTACCATTATCTACCCCAATTCACAATCATTATTTTTACCGCGATTACCACATTCCTCTTACCCCAACATCCAACATTATCTACCCCCAATTCCATATTATCAATTATTTTAACCCCAAATACCACAGTCCCCTTACGCCACCCCCCCACATTATCTAAACCCCAATTACCTACATTCCTTTTAACACCTCCAATAACAAAACATCTACCTTGACCCAATTACAATTATGATTTTTTACCGCCTATTGATGGATTTTTGAAAAATGCATTTTTTTTTTTTTTAAATATTTTGATTCCTGCTATCTGGTGCTTGCCTCTTCATGATCATGAAATCGATTTTGCCCTTTTTTTTTGCCACTTGATTTTTTTGCTTTGCTTTTTTGTTTGGGGGGGGTGATGCTTGCTTTGCCTTTTGGCTGACTTTTGACCTTTGCCCATTTTAAGCCTTTGCCCCTTTGCTATGTTTCTTTGTTTGCTGCCCCGCTTTAACCGTACATATTCCTCGTACCCCCCGACCCCACTTACTAGGACTCACGGGCCCATTACAACCTCTGCGACCACAACTAGACATATAGCCCAACAAAGGCTCAATCTTGGACTGGCCGTGCAATAGCTAATCCTTCCCACTGCTTTTGCCTTCTCCTATAATAAGTGTATATCAGTATGACCACAGGAATGATGGTAGGACCAAACTCCGGTCTTCTTCAGATCACAGTCCGCATGTGGACTCCTACCAGGATGTGGAACTTCTCAGTGTAGCTGGAACACTCTTCACCAATCCGAATCCCTCTCTCCTGAGACACCCGCAACCCCACCCCAACAACCACCTCCCAACAAACCCATCCACACATTTTTTTTCGACACCACCCCGCCAACCCCCCCCACCACCCCCCCCCGCCCCACCCCCCCCCCCCCCCACCTGCACCACCATCTTCTCATATCACAAGTCAGTCAGTCGTGAGTTGCTTACTCTTCTGCAGGAGTCCAGTACAGAAGATTTGAACAGCGAGACTCTGTCCTGATGTGGGGCACAGTGAGAGGGATGCTGATGAAGTGTGTGGGTTTCTCCTTCTCTCTGTTGGTCCACACAATAATCTCCACTCTTCTCTTGGCATCTGCCACATTTGACTTGGCTGGACCCTCAATTACTAAACAGGGGGTTAGAAAAAGCAGCTCAAAACTGTGTACATGTCAAAGTGATTCCAGTTACCCAACATCTCCTTCTATTCCCCTGGAAGGCAGCCACAGGTGACACTCTGTGTCTCTCTCTATACCCTTCTTGTCGATCCGACCTTCTCTCCCAATTGACTATACTGAAGAAAAATGAAGACTAAACTACACTGTCTCCTTCTCTCTCCTCCACAAACCCATCTGAAGGCCTCTCGATCTCTCGCCTCTCTACCTCTTCTCTCCCTGCTGCCTGCTCGCCGTCCAAACTCCACGTCTTCAGTTTAAAACGTGCATCATGGGATGTGTCTGGGCGTGGAATTATTCAGACGAGGCTAAGACGTATCTTGAAGCTGTCAAAAGCTTGGGAAGTGTTTGATGGACAATTACTACTATTCCTCTTGGGCCCCCCAATGGTACAAATGATTGGTTTTGGTGTTGGGTGGGTTCTACCTGCCTATTCTATCCCTTAACCAACAATTACTATCCAATTACTCACATGTCCTCTTACCACGCCGATTAAAAGCATTATTTTTATACCACGCGATAATTAACACATTCCTCCAATTACCTCCATTCCTGTTTACCTCCCACATTGTATACCCCAATTACCACATTTCAATTATTTTAACTCCAATTACCACATTCCCTTATCCCCTTACCCCTTAACCATCCACTTATCAAT